GGGGGCACCTCTATTTAGCTGCAAAGAAGGAACATCACTGTTGTTATTGCTATTCGAATTGATGACTTGCTTTGTTACGTTACTGTCCTTGTTCTTGTTGAGGCTTATTTCTGGCAACATCAGCACAAACATCAATTGACCCTTTGCTATTTGAGAGATCAAGCGTAATAATCGCTGGCATAAAGATTTTTACACTTCATCTCAGCCAATTCCCAGCATACGTTGCACCTAAGTGCATGTACAAACACACTTTTGTTCTTAAGCAACATTGGTAAATGCGTTTGCACTTAAGTATGTTGCAATATGCCATAGATAGTACTTCAAGTACGGAAAGGCATTAGGATAGGCCATTTATTTTAAAGACATAACTTTTTGGCAACTTATGACTTAAGCCACGGCTGGCGAACCAAAGTTATTATAGGTTTGTTCGTCGAAAATCCAGCAAGAATTATCCAACACTCAAAATATCAGAGAGTAAGAAAAAATTCTCTCAAATTCTCTCTCATGTTGAGAAACTTGCAAATTTCTGCACGAACGCAAATTTGCAGGAATTTGCAAGTTTCTCTGCCAGCTGGCGTCCACGGTTGCATTTCAAACATAAAAAATTTTTATAGAATTTTTAAAATTCTTTCGGATGGCCAAAAACAGGATATACATGTATATTTCTTGTTGTTCTGACTTTCTTTGACATACATTTCAATTTCTTCATCGTACTAGCTGTCGGGTTTCTAAAATCGACTCTGGTTGCAATTGCATTCCGATTGCGAATACCATTTTTTTCGGCCGAATTAATATCAACAATTATTTACTTCCTTTTTTCATAAAAAAATCGCTCGTGTTTATAAATTTTTAAATTTAACGAACTAATATATTCAAATTATTGTAGACAAAAATGCAACCATGCGCCACAACCACATGTTTTTCGTGTTTGCAAATTCTTGCTGGCAAAATTTTTTCCAGCAAGAATTTGCAACTTCTCTGCAAGAGAACTGTCACTTTGCTCTCACAATTTTTGAGTGTTGGATAATTTTTTGGTCTGCACGAACGCGATTTGGGCAAAAATCGTGATAATTCGTACAAATTCGTACAAATTTTTTGCTCGACGAACAAACCTTATTACTTGTTGGCACACCATGGCTACATTGAATATTGCTTTGCATATAATGGCACGTACATATATGTGTAAAGGTTCGCCGGCCCTGACCTAAATAATGAAATTTTCAACAATGTATGAATTGTAAAAAGTGCAAGGCCGTTCAGTTTTTTTAATCAATATTCCACGAAATGAAATACTACTCAATGTTAACTGGATCATCTCCACCTTATAATTTTGTTATGCAGCATTTTGCTTATACTATGCTTTATACTTTTGTACAACATGTCAAACTTAGATATCAACGGCTGACTAGAAGATTGATCTACATATCTCGTCAGCGAGTTCGAAAACATTCTATCTCAGAAAACTTTTCAAGAACGCCCTATCTCAACGCGCTATTTCAGAATTGGGTTCAAGAACGCCCTAACTCAGCTGCCTATTCAAAATATTTTCAGTTCTTGAAACGTTTTTTGAGATAAAGCGTTTTCGAACCGGCTGCCGAGATAGGTCGATCTTTCACTCAGCGCCACATTGATGAAGTCCAATCCATTAGCCCATGCCGGGCTTTAAGCTTTCACAAAATATGGTCCACAACCTTCAAACGCGACAGTACTGCTAAAATTTTCGTTAGTAGCCTATCAACTTCCTCTGGTGTCACTCGGTGGTGCGGTAATTGGCTGCAGAGACGTTTGGTATCCACAGCTGCCTGATATGTACCCCATCTACCTTCCCATTCAACAGACCGCTTATTTTCTCATACACAGCGGAGATAAAACCAAACTTTGAGCTAAGGTAGAGACGAACAAGGTGAACTATAGACTCAGATCCATTTCCACAAATTCGTAGCCTAGCCGTGGTTCTCTTGAAGAACCATTTTTCCTTGAATTGCTTGTTTCGAAGAGATTTCGTTGGACTATATATATATAGTAAAAGAAGCCTGGTTTTCAGAGTAGACAGTAGTGGAGTATTCTTCTATAGGAGCAGCCTTTTTATATCCCTTAATTCAGCTAGAAAACTCCACAGTACTTCAGCGTTATGCTTAGAAGTAAATAGTTATTGCGTATGGACGTTGCCGCCAACTTTGTTATTTATCTCAAAAAACATCGCTGGAGATTGAAATGTGACTAGTGTATAACTTTTTAAACTTTACCATTCGCTCCTAACGAATTCTCCTTGTCGAAAATTTTTATCAAAACAGGCAGGTATGATGATTGCCTAGTATATTTTACGCTGGGCTGAAGTTAGCCGTAAGAAGCCACGAGGGAGCTTTGGGAGCATCGCTTGGGTTGAAGGAAAACGCACCCTTCTACTTTGCTTTTGAACGTGTTTTCGGCCAGGGTTCGTCAATAGACTGTAACTCCTCTCTGTGGAAAGGAACCCCCATTTAAGACCATGTGACTCTTCATGTCACTCATTTATAAACGGCATTCACAATGGATAATTATTTTTCCGAGTGAAAGCATGCCCTCCAAACGTAGCCTATCAATCATAGAAGTCTTGTGAGCGACACCTGGAAATCTGAAACCACATTCAATTTGGGTGAAATATCTCTCCAGCATTTACCGAAATTTGTATTACCGAAGGCGCGTCACACTAATACTTTTTATGCAAATATGCATCTGCTAGGGTTAATTAGGCATGTACATATGTATGTATGTATATAAAATTTTTTCTTAGCAGATTTCACAGAGTTTTTTTCTATATACATATGTATGTATGTATATAAAATAAAATTAAAAGATTTGCCATGCCATTTTTTTCATCAAGCAACATTGCCATGCCTCGGACTTTTAGTTCGCTTCCTCCAAAATCTTGAACTCCCTAGGATCGTTCTACACCGAACAAAATTATACCCATGCTTTTGTATTTGGAAATCAAAAAATATTTAGAGGTCGGTCAAAGCGCTCAAAATGTTCCATGTGTTAAAATATGGTAAGATAAACTATTGGGCATTATGTATCTATTATTTGAAGTCCCCTGGAGAGAAACAGAGTTTTCCGATCGAAAAATATCGGTTTTCAAAAAGTTATGTAATTTCTGCGGAAAACTGTTTTTAACTTATAAATCAAATACATACATGGAAAACTTTGAGCGCTTTGAGTGACCTATAAATATTTTTCGATTTCGAAATAAAGAAACAGGTGTATATTTATTTCAATATAGAATATTCCTAGAGGATGATAGCAGTAAAATTCCGACTTTATTTTTTCACATGCATATTTTTTACCACCCTAATAATCGCGCATGCCCTCCACTAATGCGTAAAGTCCGCTACTAATAATGAGCAGGGCATAAGAATATACATACAAACATACATAATAAAGACGGAAACTGCATCTAAAGTTGAGATAAATGAGAGAAAGAAATTCACAGACGCCAAAGCTTAAACTACCCTTCAGGCAATAGTGGCAATTTTTCTCACCGTGTCAGTTGATACTTTCAACCATCGGCGTAGGCAGAATGAAATTTAGGGGGGTGCTCGACCCTATTAAGCTGGCATTTCAGGGTACTATTTTATTTTATATATATATAAGGAAAATTTTAAAGTTAGGGGGCTCGAGCACCCCCCGGCCCCTACCTGGCTACGCCCATGCTTTCAACTTGATAAAAGAAAATGATGCCGCTACTAGACCCACTCCTTGTGATGCACGGGTTGGTAACTTATATATATATTTTTTTACATTAAACAATCGTTAGCTCTGCCGAAAAAAACGACTTAATTGCAAAAGTACGACGGCAGCGAGATAAAAGAAGACGACGTCTTACAACCACCGGAAGAACTTAAATATGGTTCTCTCAGGTTATCACAGTTCTACAGTCTCTATATGGTACCGATCTGTTACCTCTAATTACAACCTCATGTTTAAGTTGCTGGTATGCTTTTCATACATAAAGCCCGGAACTAAAACCGATATGTTCTCCTTGTGACCTGAAGGTGAAATGTGCAGTACCGGTACTTTTACCCCGGTAAATTTGACCACACCTTCGTTAAAGTGGAGGGCCACTACGATATATGAAAACTGTCCCGCAGATTTTAAGTTCGAGGCACCCAATACAAGCGGCAATACTCCCCCACTGATGAAAATTTGCAATACTGTTGCAACTTCCCTCCTGATAAAACGTTGCTAGAAATTCACACCGAACGTGATACTTTAATAATTCGCACAATACCTCGGTTTTACGATTTCTATCTATCTACGATTTCTATGCCTGAAGCTCAGGGTTGTTACCAAATCTAATTTTTGCCACTGCGGCGATTTAGTCGGTTTTGCTACTGGTCGATGTGCGATTTTGCAAAGGCATCAACGATATGGAAAGGCCATATCTTCGCCAGTTCTCGGCGATTGTAGTATCTGTTATACTCAGCATACGTATTCTTCTCACGAAGCATTGCATGATAAAATCTCCCAAAAAAGGTAAATTTTAAATGAATTATCTCTATTATTAAACGCGCGTCATTTCAAGATGTGAGTATGTATTAGGCAGAAGGAAAAAATCAAAATTAATTTATTTTATATTTTTTGTTGCGAAATTAATAAATGCAATATTAAACATGTTCAAAAACCAAATATTTGGCATTGGCCCTAATTTTTACCATTTTATTGGCGAATTCAAATCAAAAAGTGCCCAAAGTTCGTTCGGAGTCTCTTGCAGGTGCGTGCTGTGCAAAATACAAATTGTTTACATGATCAGTTGCTGAGTTGGTTATAATGGCACTTGGTTTTAAATATCTAATGGCTTTTATTGACTAAAAGCAATCATTTTTACGTTGAATTATTTATTTAAAATTGCATATGCTTACGTTACATGCACATTTGTTAATTATTCAGTAAAATATAATGCGTAATTAAAACCAATAGAACACTTACGTTATATTCTTACATGAAACAAGTTTACGCCTATTTCCATTTAGATATACTCATAATGCAAGTGTTTGCAAGAAGACTCGATATTTAACTTTGATCAGATATACATATATGTATGTATGTATGTATGTGTAAAAAATGTATACATGTGCAATTGAAAAAGTGGAAAGGCTTTAACACAAAACCTGGTGCGCTCTTCAAAAATTACTATGGCATTTGTAAGTGTAACTCATAGTATTGTAGAATGTTTGCCCTTTTTGTAGCAATATAAAATGATTCAGTTTTGCAATGAACAAATGACTAATTTTAACTTTGAGACTAAAATTATCCTAAAAATATTGATAAACGATAAATACAAAAAAATTAAGACAAATTTTTGGAACAAAATAGATTTGTTTAGGGCGTTATAAAGCGTTAGATCTACTACTGCTAGTCATTTTGTAAATTATAATTTATGGGTCGATTTATAACTAAGTAGAAAATATTTTTAAACAAAATTTTATGAATAATTTTTCGCCTGCATGCTGCCAGCTGAAAGTGTTTTTCTATTATAATAAATATACTATAATGTCGACGAATGATATACAAAGCCCGGATTGTTAAATTTAAAACGCGCTATTTCGAATTTCAACTTTTCAGCTTTTATATCAGCTATGCGCTTAAGTTGGCGCGCAATTTCACGCGCATCATGCGTTGGAACAGCGCTTAAGCCCATCAGATGTGTTGACGTATTATGACTACTGTTGCTGGGTATCGTGTTGCATTCTGCCTGTGATACTCCCGTATTATGTATTGTAATGGTGCGTGGTGCATGTGATATTGGTGCTTTTTTAACTGAAATATGAATTTAACTTTTATAATTATATACATATGTACATAAATGCTGCAATGCAAATAAAACGTACCTTCATAGATTACTTGGTCGGAGGGTGGCTTAGTGCGCAATCGTTTTAACGGCATTTCACCATTGATAAGTTTAGTAGCAGTGGCTTGGGATGGCGTAGCTGCCGTCACTACCGTTTGTACGCCTGTTGCTACGACATTAGTAGATGTGGACGACGGTCCCAATGTATGTCGACGTTGCGTGATGAACTCCAAATGGTCTTGGTTCTGATCATCATCTGTAAGTGCTGCATTCTCTACTACAATGGTTCGATAAGTTGTAGTTGTTCCAACGTTAGCTCCTCCCGTAGTGGTAGACACAGTTGTTTGCACATTGTTCGGAATAGTATGTGTTATAATGTCTTCATGCTCTTCGCTCTCACCTTGCATTGCATCGTCGTCGTCATCACCATATATAGCTTCTTCAACGGCTGCTTGTAATTCCTTTTGCAGAGATTCTGAAGGACGCTGATGTTCCGCTTCATAGTCGGGGTCTTCGTTTTCTGATTTAAGGGTTATACTTACTGGTTCGCTCCCAGTGCCTGGGACTTTGCCGAAGAGATCAAGTGCTTTTAATTCTAGAGATGTTAATGATACATCTTTTTCACCCGAAATACTTCGTCTATATTTACAGCGGGTTGTATTTTTCCAATCGTTTAATCGCTAGAGGTAACAAAAAGTTTTTTGGAAAATTTCACCGAACAAATTAAGGAATTTATTACCTTGCGCCACTCCTCTGCAGTTAACGTTGGTCCACTGCCGCACATATTTAGTTTATCGGAAAGTTCTTTCCATTTTTTATGTAAATAATTGCTTTCCACATCGCGAGGAATGCGACCAGTCGCAAAAATACAGTCCTTTTCCATCATGTCCAAGTACATCATATATTGATTTGTGGATGTGCGCTTCTTTCGCCGATCCATCTTGTGATGTTGATCAGAACTTTCAGACGCAATTTTGATTAATATTTTGGAAGTGGATGTACAAAAATTAAGTTTATTTCACTGGATTTGCCGCAGAGCGCCCTTTTTTCTGTAAACAGTGTTTAGCTCGCTTCTGTCAATGGCTTTTCGGTTTTTCGTCAAGTTCATTTTTAACGAAAGCGCTAACTAATGCTGCCAGACTGCTGGACACAAAAAAATTTAAAATAAAACTTATAGGTTGCATTGCAGCAGTGTTGCCGTTTTATGCTAGATTTTGATTACTTTTTAACTGCTCCAAATATTTGCTACTCACTTCTCATGATGCAATCATACAAGGCAGTCTTGGGAAATTAAATCGTTCCTTCAGTACGAAATCTATATAAAAACTGTACTTTTCGATTGAAAATTGTATCGACATTTTAATTTGCTTATAAATTTGTTAGTACATGCAGCATGGATTCTTCGGTGGGAGATCTACGTCCACGAATCTCTACCTCTACATCAACTACATTCTCAATGCACTTAACCACGGCCAAGACGTACACTCATTATACACCGACTTCAGCAAGGCGTTTGACATGGTGGATCACGAAATTCTCTTAAGTAAATTAAAAAGTTATGGTGTCCGGTCAAAAGCCTTATACTGGTTCCGCTCATATCTATCGGGTAGGCGAATGCAAGTTCGCGTCAACGGTCATCTGTCAAATGAGTATGGTATAACTTCCGGTGTACCTCAAGGATCTCACTTGGGCCCTATCCTTTTCAGTATATTCATAAACGACATTGGCACGAAACTCAAATCCGAGTTCTTATTATATGCGGATGATATGAAGCTATTCAGAGCAGTAGGCGGTAATCACGACATAGACATTATAGAGAGGGATATTTTAGAAATTGAAAATTGGTGCACAACAAATAAGCTGCATCTGAATATACAAAAATGTGCTGTCATGTGTTTCTCTCGACGTCTTAATAAAGTTAGCGCTAATTATTCCTTGTGTGGTCAAACTGTGAAAATAGTCAACTCAATTAAGGATCTGGGTGTGTTTGTGGATGATAGACTCTCCTTCTCAGAGCACATTAACCACATTTCTGCACGAGCATATCGTGCGCTTGGATTCATATGTAGAAGTGGGAAAGAGTTCAGGAACCATAGAACACTCCTCAGACTATTTTCTACCTTCGTGCAGCCGATACTTGAATATTGCTCCATTGTCTGGGCACCATTTACCGAGCTCCAAATAAACAACGTCGAAAAAGTGCAACGTAAGTTTTGTAAGTTCCTGCTGTATCACTCCCAAGACGGAAGCTGTGTAAATACGAGTGATATATACAACAGGTACAATATAAAGACCTTATACAGCAGAAGGCAAATAGCGGATCTATCCTTTTTTTATAAGGTCGTAAATGGGTTGATAGATTCCCCAGAAATACTGGAGCAGTTCAGGTTCATCGGCTCTAGAGCTGATCTTCGATCGAGACGACTGCTAGATGTTACGCAATCTAACCGGAACTATATCGCCTATGGACCGTACAACAGAATAGCTAGCTTAGTCAACCGACATGCACCAAGTGTTAATTTCTTTGGAGGTTCTCACGCTGGTCTCATTCGTGTTCTAAAATCAGTTCTTTGAGTTATACATATGTACTCATTCGACATCTATTTATAATTTTTGCAATTGATAATTATTGTTAACTATTTACGTTTTTAAATTGGTACAAAATTTTACTTTTTTATTATGTGTAAAGCCGATTGGCGTTTAAATAAATAAATAAATAAATAAATACATTCCCTTCCATGATTTGATGGTATTCATATATTACACTTTTAACATAAATGTGTATTCACATATTTTAATGTCCACTTTTTAACAAAAAAAAAAATTTTAAAGTTATTATGAATGGATAAAAGAGACATCTTCTTTGAATTCAGTACTAAAATTTGACATTTTAATACTATTTCAAGTGCTTATCAAAACTTTACGACACGCACATATTGACCAGATTGGCCATTTATCTTAAAGTGATTTAATTTAAAATATTTGTATATGCGCAGTTTATACTTTAGCAAAACCCGTATAAATCCAAGATGCAATCTTTATCTTTGCTCAACATTAAAAAAATCAACAAACTTTCGTAAAAATTTCGAACTTTTTAATTAGATTTCCTAGAAATACATATTTTGAGTATGCACTTTTGTAGCCCATTCAATTTAAATAAAGTGCAAGTTCAAAAAAGCAGCGACTTTAAAGTATTATTTTTTTTTTGATGAATAAAATGCCAAGCATATAACGATAATTCCCAGCTATTTTAAACTTGCACTAAAATTGATAGGCTAAAAAACTGTAAAATATTAAAAAAAAAAATTAAAATAAAAAGTTCGAAATTTTTAAGTTGCCGATCTTTTTTATTGTACTAAGAAATAACCTATATTTTTATAAACAAATAATTATATAAATAGCAAAATCTAGTCAATATGTGAGGGTCGTAAAGTCATGATATTTAAGAAAATCTCTTTCCTAATTAACGAAGACACTGCTTCTATATGAAGCTGAATTTGACATTTTGTTTTAATGAGATTAACAGGTCTATTCTGCACGTTACCGAAGATTTTGTAACCGGAAAATTTTATTACCAAAAAATGTTACCAGTTCTTGTCACCGCGATTCTAGGAACGTTGGTAATGCAGTTAAAATATTCAGCAATTTAGCTATGAAGAATTGTGCAAATTCTGGCATTGCATATTTCACGGGGCAATACTTTGTTACCAGCTTATGAGATGGTAACAAAATTTACCGGTTACAAGAATTCACAGAATGCGAAAAGGATTTAAAAATTGACAGGAACTTTATTTACCGGTTACAAACTTTTTATTATCAGCGCAGAATAGACCTGTTAGTATCGAAAATATTATTTCCAAATTTTCCTGGGAATGTGAGGTTGATAGCACACCTTGTGCTATGTTATAATGGTTCGTTCAATACATTTTTTCAAAACTTGCAAGGGCAAAAACGAGAACTCGTTTTCTTTGCATTGTTTACTTTTAGCTCGTTTTCCAGCGAAACAAGGTGGCGTAGAACTCGCTCAAAAAATCACTCCCTTATTCTTATACCATGTTCGGAACGGCAACGAAAACATTTTGAAAACGAGTTTTGGGATTGTGGGCTGAAAGCTGTTCGCACTAGCTGTTAGTGTTTTCGTTGAAATTTCTTTGCTACGAAAAAACAAAATCAAAACCTTTGTCTTTCATTTTCTTATTATTGGGAACATTTTTCTTTTGTTCACATTTTAATTTCGCTAGTCAATTTACAATAAATCCCAGAGATGATAAATGAATTTCTAGAAATTGTACCAAACGTCTGAAAAAAATGTACCAAATCAAATAAATCAAATTTTTAACGAATTCACGAAAACAACAAATATTAAAAAAAATATATACAATTATTCAACGCTTTTTAAATAAACATCTTGTAAAAATATACATATAGTAGAATAAAAATTAGTTAAGCTTTTCACTTTCTGTGACATCGTAAGTCAGATTTTGGTTTAAAGACTCTGTACGCAATTTTCTTTCATGACACAATTTGGAGAGGATTTGATATAATTTTTTGCTTTTAATAAGAACCGAGGGTTTTTACTTGTAATCTATTTCTACGTTTAGTTTTTATCAGATTTTGAACAGAAAAGACACGTTCGAAATTTGCTGAGGAATGTGGAATAGCCAATATGCTTTGAGCGATTTTAAAAAGTTTGCAAACCTCGGGTCGTTCAGTTAGTTTTTAATTAATTTAATTTGTTCCCAAACCTCGCATATGTATATATATTCAAATTTTTTTAAGTTCTCGTGCTCCGGTAGAACACACCTTGTAATGTAAAACAAATTTAGTCGATGTTTGTATGAAGTAGAGAAGGAAGAAAGTATTTGTATAGATACGTTGCATTTCCAAATTGTACCAAAACTGTCTATGTGGTGTCAATATACTTTTTGGTTTCAAATTGTACCAAAAAAGGCACATTGTGGCAACTTTATCACCACTGATAAAAGGTGATAAAATATGACCTCCACTTCGATAAGTATATCTAAAATACTTCCCTTCCCTTCCTATAGATTTACCTTCTTTGGATTTACCTTCTTTGGCCAGACCTAAAATGCTGAAAGGCGTACAGATAAGAACAAATTGGGGTACAACTGAGAAAGAAAAAGGGGTATTTTTCAGGGGACAAATAAAACTAAATGTATTCAACAAAAAATTTATTTATTCGCTTATGGAACAACTCGACAGAACACACGTAAAAGCATGCATGCTACACTCACAGCTAACGAGTGACGCTCGAGAAAAGTTGAAAGTTGGCCATCCTTCTACTTTGTGTTGGCGTAAGCACTGCCGAATTTGGCGGGCCATATTTGCTTTTTGACAACCAATATTGACTGTGTAACTTTAGCGTAATGGACATTGTCAAAGTCAGATACAGAGTGTTCCGAAATCTCAACTTATTGCTAAAGGCCTACACAGGCATTGATTTATCGGCCAACCAGTTGGCAAACCGCTAAAAGTTGGTTGTAAATAAGGCGTGTGCAAGCAAGTTGGTCTACATTCGTCAAGTTGTTCGTCAGGTTGCCGAAAAATTAAAATCTTTTGATTTTCGAGGCAGCTTGGTCAAATTGTTGCTTTGTGTTTAGACAAGTTGACAACTCATTTGTTCTTCAGTTCGTTATGCTAGTGATAATATAGAAATTGCGGCGGTAAAAATAATAAATACAGAAAAATGGCAGCATTCTAATCATAACTTAAAAGTTGACTTCTGCTGAGGGCTAGTTTACAGGCTAACCTAATATTCGCGGCTTGCGTTTTGGTACGCATGCCGTCGAATTTTTTTTTTTGCGTCAACCGAAATTGACTTGCATGCGTTTGCATTTGATTTCATTGAGCAAAACGTCAAATCAAAATGTCACGCAGAACAAAAATTGGAAATTGAGTTAGCTTCATACGCACGCCGTTCAATTTCGGTTGATCTCATACAAGTTGCATGTGCATGAGAAATTTTTGACAATAAATTGGCGGCGTGCGTGAATATTAGGTTTGCCTGTTAGACTGCTTTTACACAGTTCAAGTATTGAATTCAATTCTGCTCGCATGTGGAAGAGAGGGGGTGAGAAGAAAAGGGACGAGTACACATGCGTCCGTACCGTCAAGTCGTTTCAACTTTCTTGCTTTGCTTTTGGCATTTTCGTTGCTTTCCATTTAAAGAACCAAAAACTTGAATTCAACAGAATTGAAACGCGTAAAAACAAATAGAAAACGCAAAAGAGAATGAGCAAGAATTGCTTTCAAGTACTTGAAACATGTAAATCGGGTGTTATGAACATTCCCAATAACATGATTTTAGGCGCAAGAGGTAGCAAAACACGTAAAACTACTTAAAATTGACTTTCTTTTCTTCGCCCATGATATATTGCGCCAATTTTTTTTTCAGCCAAGACACACTCCTAATAACGCTTGCATTCATCAAGCAAAATCAGCTGGGTTGATTAATTTTACATCATTCACCCTATTATCGGTTCTTGCTGCAAATCGAACAAAGCTGTACCATCCATTCGCCTATTCCACAGAAACGGATCGACTGAAGTTACAAAGTTTTAGAGAACAGTGCGAAAAACATTACAATTATCCAATTGAGTATTGATTTTCGCCTTACTATAAAGCAGAAATGTAATATTTGTTGTCTGAAGGAGTTTGTACATAAAGAAATTTACATATTTTGACACGGAAGGTTTGGAATATGGTCTTTGAAAAACGTGAAAATTTGCAGCGGATATCGAGATTATTCATTTGGTGCAAATGGTCGGAGAGTGAGAGAAACGCGAAGAAAATACGAATTACACCAATAACAAATTTAAAAAAATTAAAAGTATGAGGTAAAAATTATTTAAAGCGTTTAAAACATCCCGATAAGTAATTAAAGCCGAAATAAATACGTATTTGAAATTAAAAATATATCGATCAAGTCTGAACAGTTTTATCCCGGACATTTTGTGAGAAAATATCAAGCCCCCAACAATACACTCACAATTATAATTGTTATTGTAGCCGATGGTCTAGCGCGAGTCTTTCAAGTTCACATACAAGCAGAGCCCTTTCATCAAATATTCCAATAGCAAATTTTCTGTAGTTTCCGGTAATAATTCGGGACATTTAGGTATTTTACAAATAAACGACTAAAACTCCAAAAATCAAGATGTCTACCCCAGCAGTTGCTGAGGGTAGGATTGGTGGTGATTCTGGTGATAATTACATGAATTTGTCCAGCAACGTGCGATCGGCGACAGCTGGTGATTCTAGTGCACGCACATCGGCTATGTCTACTAGTAGCTCCCGGCGTGGGCGATCAAATGTTGCCCGAGTAAGCCAAGTAACTGAAGAAAGTGTTGAAAATGATGCAGGAGACGCACAAAATGCTGTAAGCTCCACATCAGGAGCCATCGAAAATACACCAGATAATGGGCATGGCGTACCGGTGCCCGCTGAAGATATAAATTTACATCGAACATTGACACCTTTAATGCGTATAAAATTATCTGAGCTTACGACAAGCAGTAGCGACACTGAAGGAGAGGAGGTCCATCAGGGTACTGCCGAAGATGGCGCGGCTGGAAATGGTGATAGCCGGCGTGCAGTCTCACCCCCACCTAATTGTGCAATTTGTTTGGGTCGTTGTAAGAATAAATGTTTCACAGATTCTTGTATGCATCAGTTTTGTTTCAAGTGCCTCTGTGAATGGAGCAAGGTAATCTTAATAATCTTAATTTAGCTTATGACTATTTATAAAACTTATTTTGGGTTGTAGGTAAAACCAGAGTGTCCCCTTTGCAAGCAAACCTTCAAATCTATCATACACAATGTTAAATCGATTGACCAATTCGAGGAGTATCATGTGCAGCCGCCCACCGTACAAATTCCACATCGTCCAATGGAGGTCACCATACGAAGTTTGCCATATATTTTTGATGCTGTCGTCGTGGAAGGGTATGTGCTGTTATTTTTTCACCATTTTCATAAAACTAAGCTTATGCTACTAAATACGTGCAATACATACATATGTATGTAAATGGGCATTTCCATGGCACTGATTCATGAAAGCAAAAAAAACCAACACCTTATTTTTAGGTTATAAATATCGACGTTTAAAGTACAAAAGCCCGTATCAACAAAATGCAAAACCGCGTATATGAGGTTGCATAAATTATTTTCTAGAGAGTAAAAATTATAATATTTCCAAATGGTTTTCTTTTTTATAAAGCAATCGCATTTCTGTCTAGTATATTTCAGGCCGAATGTGTAAGGATTGAGCCAAGAGCTTGTGTGAGTAAATAAAATTTTTGACAGCAAATGTTACGCGGTTTTGCAGTATGACGATACGCGGTTTTGTACTTTAAACGGCGATTAGTATTAATAAGGTTACTTTTTTTAATATTTCAAACCATATTGAAAATATGTGAAAACATTACTCATTACCCTTAACATAGCTAGACTAGAAGAAGAAAAGTAGTATACATCTTTTTGCAAATTACAAACTTAATTTCTAATAATATCCTAAAATCCAAAAACTAATTATTTTGAGAACTTTCGCATAAATTTTGATAAAGCAGCATTGCTCAATATTCCTTGTGCCGAAATTGTAATGCGTGTGATAAGTTAAATCATTAGTTAAATCATGATTTAACTATACTTCAAAATCGATAAGTTAACGGCTCTTAATATTAAAGTTTTATTTCGAAAGTATCGCGAGTGACGGTGGAATCACCTTATAGTAAAAGTTAAAAATATTTCAGTATTCATAAAGCTATTAAAATATAAGATTCTTGTTCTTTTGGCAATCTATTTGGCGTAAATTTAACGGCAAAAAGTCAATCGTGGATGTTTCAAATATGCATTAGCAAATTGAAAACATACTGAATAAGTCAAAAAGCTTTTATAAATTATGCTAGAAATACTTTCAGACAAACCATAAGATAAGAACCAATATGGGATCTTTTAAAGATATGACTTTGATTGTAGACAAATTTCTCTACAGACTTTTTGATTACGACCATGATACAAAAAAAAATTGTATTATGATACGACTATTACAATCTATACTTTAATAAAAATGTGTTCATTAATAATTTAAAAATGGTATAGGAAAATATATTATATCCCATATAAATATGATCCCTGTTTACGGCAGTCTTTCTGTTAGAAATTTTGTTTGTATTCAAAATATGATGTATATTGGCAAACACTTGAGAATCCCAGAAATTTCATAATTAAACATGTTCCAACGGAAAACAGGCATGACTGGGAGTTACCTCGTCGTAGAAATTCTGCTCATCGCATCCGTCCCGCTAGCAGTGGCATATTTTATCCCTCTGAAGCCTCAGCCAATGGAGAGCATGGTAGCAGTTCGAATGGAGCCAGCATGTATAATCACCTTGTTTACCGTAATGAACTTCTGGATATGTATCGCCAGGAAGCACCAGATGCCATAGCAACCAGTGGCACATTGAGTCAACTATGGCGCCGTTTTATATACGATAGACGTCTCTTTGCATTACCAGTTTGTGATATAACCGGACGATTCCGAGAAAGTACAGCCAGGTTCTACAGGTGTGTACAACAATATAAGTTTTGTCTTCATAGCATTATTAATGTTTTTTTATTTAACGTTAGGGATAATCCTGCACAAGTACATCGGCTAATGCCATGGATTAATCGTGACATTGTGTGTTTGCTGCGCAATACTGAACATGATGTTTCATCGTTACTAGAACGCATCAATGAAAGCCTTCTGCAGACCAACATTCTATCGCCTGCATTCCGTCGACGTCTACAACCTTATCTCGGTACAAAAACTTCACACTTCATTCATGAGCTTAACAATTTTGCACGTTCTCCGTATGATATGATTGGTTATGACAGAGCAGTTCACTATTTGCCACAAGCTCCCGAAGAGATCGTCATAGAATTCTCGTCATCCGCATCGTCTGATGACGAAAATGCATCGAATGATAATGAACGTAGTACACGTAGCCGCAATTCTCGAGTTCGAAATGATGGTGAATTTCGCGTGCTATCACGGTCGGGCAACTCTTCCGTATCTGGTTCAGTTGGGGCGTTGCTTTCCTTTACGGTTAGCACTACCTCAGAGGGTACAGAAGCGCCCGGCGTTACAGTGTCCATAAATGGCCGCAGTGGACAATCAGCTGCAATTAATTTAAGTACACATAATCGCGTAAGTAGCGATATCATAGATCTAGATGATTCTGAGGTACCATATGAGGGGGGAACTTCGCGTGCAACAAACGACCCTGGCTCCTCAACATCGGCAGCAGCACCAACATCTGCAAACGAAGAAATGGCATCTACGAGTGCAGCTGCTAACAGACCTTTACCCACCGTTACAGAAAATATTGAACTCACTTCGAGTAGCAGTGATGAATGTGAGTTTGTATTGGAGCGCAAACCACCACATCTCCGAACTCCCGAACTTGTGAGCCTGAATTCGGAAAGCGATTCTGATGTGGTATTCGTTGAGGAGTCAAAACCTCGGCGTAAATCAACTTATCTGAGTAGCGCTGCTGAAGATCAGGAAGAGTGTGAGAACTCTAATAAAAAGTCAACAAATCAAAATCCTACAGTAGCAGAAGGATCTGCGCAAGCTTCTGCCGATCGCGAGGAACTATATAATATTGGTGCTAGTACCTCGACAGGCCTCCGTTCATCTGGTGCCGGACGAGGCATAAAAGAGATGTATGAGCGTTCACGGCGCAGCGTATCAACTCGCCGCAAACGTAATTTGCGAAGCAACAGGGCTAACGATGAAGCGCAGGCGAAAACATCGACCACTGTCCATAGGGGCAAAAGAATATATGAAAGTAGCTGTACGTCGTCTTATTCATCGTCATGTACTAGTGACAGTGACGATGAGGATTTCAGCGTTCAAAGGCAACGTTCGAAATCACGGCGAACCTCTAAAAGGGCGAAACCCACCAGATCTAGAAGGAAAGTGGCAACACAACAAAACAACCGCAGGGGAAATAGCCGTGGCCGCAACAGCACAAGTAGTCGTAAACGACAAGTTAGCTCGAGCACCAATAAACAACAAAGCGAAGATGCGAAACGCTTTAAAGTTGAGGCCAGGAGCTCAGACTCTGAATATTCGAGTGACGATAGCCAAAGTTTAATTCAACTCCAGCGCCGTTTGCAAGCGCTCAAAGATAGGGAAAAACAAGGCGCTACATTGGAAAATATTGATAAAACCCTTTCCTACTTAATCGAGTGCGACAGGGACAATGAATCATCAATTTCCACTGCAAATGCCAATAACAGCACCGATCAAATGCCAACTGGTTCACAGCAGCTGGAGAACGTTATGCAGCCGGATGAATTTCAGGATTTGAAGCCGATGACGAAACAAGAAAATTTCGATAGTGAATCCCAAAATGAGAATAGTGTACCATCGGATTGTGGACGGCAACGATTGTTCGAGGCAGCGGAGGAAAGTTTAGATGTTGCACAAAATGTATGTCCCACATCCACAAACGAATGCGAAGTAGCGGCTGCTAATATTGCAATAGAAGAAGAAAACACATTTTCTTCTACGGTAACGCAAACAACGACTGCCACCACAGTTACCACAACACCGGCAAATAATCGCTCGATTTCGCGTGCTTCGGCAACAACCAACAATACTAATGACAATGACAACGACAATGGAAATGAAAATTGTAATGATAACGATAATTACAACACCTCTGAAACTTCATCAACGTCCTCATCTTCTACAGACACTTCGGTATCGTCGCCTTCATTATTTTCAGCCTCTAGTGGCGGCGAAGAGGAAGACGGCGACGATAATGATAGAAATAATGATGATAATGACGAGGATGGCAACTCCTTGGGACTACAGCAGTTGTTGGATTCCGCATCTCTGGGTGATGCTTGGCTTGTGCACCAGCTTGGTAATTCAGGGGCGGACAACGAGATGGAGGTATCCACGGCACAGCATGCAAATGACGATGAAAACGGGAGTAATGATAGATCAGACTTATCACCGCAACATGTAGAAGAAGAAGCACTTTCATTGCCAGATATTGAAAATGATGTTGGTGGCATTTTTTTGAACCAGCACGATTCGAGCCTCGTTTTGCCATTCAACTATGATGCCGAAGGGAGTCAAAGCGATAATGAGTGACAAATAGATGAATTGTAATGTTTACTAGATTTTGAATCTTTCCAAGGTCAAGAGGAATAATTAAAATCCTTTGTTAAATGATTCGGTCTAATCGCAGGAATTCGATTTGGTATTTTTCTACAAGTACTACCCACATAACTGTCGCAAGAAATTCCAAAATTACTGAGCAGATTGTATGTACGATATTTGAGACAAAATAACTCCCTTGTAACACACACAATGCGACTGTAGATCATAAATTATAGTTTTAATGTTTTACTCTTAAGGAAGCATATTTTACATAAATAGTTTTTTGTTACGGTATTTTTCTCCACTAAAACTGTTGGACTATCATGATCTAAAATAGTTGTAGTGGGGGAAAAATTGGCTCGATCTGTAAAAATTTATTACTTACCAGTGCTGTATAATTAATTTTTAACTTACGTTGCTAAAATGAGCATAATATAATATAGGAAGATGCCAAAAAGTTGGTTTTTTTAACGAAAATCCATGCGTTATTAAGACACTAAACGCAAACCAACAGAGTGTCACCCACATCGAGCGCAACTAGAGCAGAGTTCATGCGAATGTTATACAAAGAGCAGAATCTCAAAATGCAGAAATTTTATATGCCGGATGCATCGAGCTCATGTGCGGTGTACGGGTATGAGCAAGCGTGTTAGCAAGGAATTAAAAAAAAAAAAAATATACTCTAATTCTTAAGTTTATTTGTCGTTAATTATAGATGCGAGCGTAATACTGAATAAAAACTAAATACAAATGATTCTACACTACGTATGTTCATCAAGTGTAAACAATTGCGACGGCAATACGTTGGTTATTATTTTAAGCGAATTGGGACTATACATTTTGCTTAATATCTAATGGTGTAGGATCTTGCATCTAATAATCTATTTAGGGCAACTAAGTTAATACCTGTCAGATTGGGTTTTATGCACTGTTAGAATTAAAATAGTTATTTTTAAGTGATTATGGCTATGTTCTGCTAAGCTTTCTCTGGGCAACATCTTTCACGGGAAGTGAACATTATTGTAAGTCATTCCAGCTACTCGTTTTTTTCCGAAAAAAAGATTATTAATTAAATGAATTGCAACACAAATACATTAGTTGACTGGTCACCACGCCTCCATGGCCAAGCTATTAAAACACTATTACAAAATCAAACAATTACATTGGGATCTTGAACCATACAAACAAGTACATATGTTAAATAAACTCTAAACAAAAACACTTAGATTCTAAGTTGCAAGAAATCGGAATGTAAGAAGTTGTACAAAACCAATGCACACAAAATATTCTGCATACAAACATACATATATACACTTAGTTGTAAGGCACGTTAAAACACAAAGAAAACTACACTACAGTGAGACTCCAGACATTTAAGTTTAGCATATAATTTTACTTCAGTGGAATAATTATTAGATTTTTTATTAAGAGTTGCTTAAATGTATTATATGTCGATAAATGACTATAATACTAATATAAACATATACATACTATGAAGGGTTATAACGTAAATTATACACAAAAACCAAGTATTTCCATCAACAAAAAAAGTAAGACTCCTAAGAGAAACTTTCATCTGTATATTCGATTCGTATGCGTTAATAAATGTAAGAAAATATCACAAATAATTGTAAATTTTTTTCGTGGTTGTAGCGGCTTAGCACTTCAAAGATCAGTTGAGATCCTTAGCAGTCGCCTAGCTCAAATAATGGTCGGTCCAAAAACACACAGTTGCGAAGGGTTTACATCAAAGAGCAAGGGCGGTTAGCGGAGTAGATTTAAGTGGGCGGGTGAAAAAGTGGTTGGTATCGTATGGGGTTCCTTCACAAATATTTGGAACGATTCTGGAAAGGTGCAGGTCGTAACTATGACAGCGTGATTCAGGCTGAAGAAGGTGTTGAAAACCTTTCGGGAAATGATCTTAAAAATCTGTCGATACACTTTTGGGTTCAAAGGTCGAAATGCCTTCTGACGGAAGCAACCAAGTAGAAATCGCTAGCATGCACAGCGATTGCTTCTGGTGACTAAATGGTTGACATCAGAAGGGGTATTCACTATCCGGTGCATACTGTTTAGCATGGTGCATAGATAGCATAAATAGCATGATTGTTGTTGTTTCATGTGTTCAAACAACAAAAAAAATTAGCCAATCATGCTATATTTATATTTATGCTATCTATGCAGGAGAAGCTCGGCCAAACATTAACATATGTGTAAGCGCCAATCTATTATTATTATTATTGCACCATGCTAGACAGCATGCACCGGATCGTGAATACCCCTAATGGTTCTTCGTCTTTACCCCAAGCGCTGGCTTACAGCTGTGTCTCCATCAATTGTTATCATAAGGAATTCCCGAACAAGCACTTGCTCAAACTCAGCCGCCTTTAACAGCCTCATTGCGTAGGTCGTAAATTAGGCTAAATTGTACGACTCGACAACAGTAGCATTGTCTATTGTCGTAATGAAATAAGTAAACGACCAAAATCGTCGAAAACTATACAGTGCTGCCAAGTTTTTCCGTTTTAATACACTAGTCGAGTGGAAATTTTAGGCAATGACGTGCAATTTTCGATACGATTCGACTCTCGAAAAACGACTGGCATTCGATACGACTCTCGCAATGAGGGTGTAAGTTCGTCAGAAGGCATCTCTGCGAATTCACAAATATGATCCAAATGTACATCGTATCACTACTGGTCCCCACGCAGTACCGACAGGTTAAGAACCACTTATTTATTTATTTATTTACGCGCTGTAGGCCGGATGGACGAATACTTTAATCTGCATCGATAGAACCTCGTAGCTTTGGCGAAACTAACGTTTGGCTAGAGTAACAGTTAAAACTCTTACTTATACAATAAATGTATGTCTGGTTTGTGAAGGTACCGCAAACGACACCAACCAGCTATTCAGACGTCCGCTTAAACTCACTCATCTAACACCCCCTTGCTGCGGTTTGCTTTCCAGAATCTTCGAGTTCTTGATGTTCCAACGACATGGGAACCTAGCGGCACTTCCTTCTGCTTATGTGTTAAATCGAGTAGTAGTGGTTTTGTAGGACTTTTTGCAGTGAAGAAGTGAGAAAATTCTATTACCAGGTGGCATTATTGAATAATAATCAGAGAGATTTTTTTTGATTTTGGGGGAGTTTCGTTAAATAAAAATTAATTAAAGTTGGGAAGAAGACACTATCTCTTTGGTTCAATGTTTAATCACTTAGAAGATCACAAACGTTTGTTTTCCACCCAGATAACTCGCAGTCCAACGCTTTAATTATTTTCAATAGATTTGGTATTGGAAAATATACCACAAACTCCCATGCGGAAGCATTAATAAAAAACTGTTTCACTGTGTCCAAATAGAGGATGAGCAACGCCGAAAAAGGGAAGTGCAACAATTGAAATATGGTTACACAATTTATATTAAATTGAGTTAAATTGAATACGAAATAAATAAATTTGAAGTGAATGTAATCAGACATGTCTCCGGAAATCTGTTAGATATCCGTCAGACTCGTCGGCAAATAAGTCAGAATTCCCCATGATTATTTGGTCAGACATCGTATTACGATTGTTTAATTGGTTCGTAAAATATACGTGATTAAGTGCAAAAGAATACATTGATGGTAACAAGACACCCACGAGCCAAAGTAAATACGTATAAACTCAATATAGCGGAACTTAACCATTAAAAGCTATATGATTGTAAAAACACCCATGTCTAAGGACATTTATTATAATTTTTATTTTATTAGTAACCTCCTGACTTAAGCATGCCAGAAGTTGGAGAAATGGCCAAAACTTTACAAATGCTTTCGTATATAGACTTAGAAGTGCAGTATAAAAAATGCGGATCGGAAGAGTGCTATCAGTTTGTTGGAATGTCTAAGAGCTGATGGTATTCAAACCATTTAGCTAAACGTGGACATCGCTCTTCGTATATGTATGTGTGTGTACTCCCGCCATCAACAGCTAGGTGGTCACTAACGCCGCATTTGATCTGATCAAAATTGTTCGATGAAAGACGGCACTAATGAGGATTAACGAGCCGCGAGGTAGTGGGTTCGAGACGCATGGGCAGCAGAATTTTCATTTCATTTATTTTTACTATCGATCTGCATTTTTAGTTTTTCTATAGCCAAACGGTTGGTATACTCGATGTGTTCTAATTCATTCGATTATTACGATCGAACCTGATCCCATGATAAAAGCATAGTAAGGTAAAACCGTTCTCTCAATGCGTCGGCCATGATTTTTTTTTGAAGTTTGCCAACATTTTAAAATCGTATAAAATTGAGAGTAAAAAAAGGAATTGTTCAAAGTTGTTGTTGTTTGAGATTGAAAATGAGAATGTGTGTGTGTGAGTTTGTGTGTAAAATTTTAAAATTAAATTGCTTGCAAACGTCAAGAATTTGAAAAATTCCTCTCAGCGGTTCTACCTTCCTATTTTTTTTATCATGCCTGATCCTACGAAATTGTAGTGTGCAGCTCTCTCAAGCTCTCGCTAAGCTTGTTTGCGTACTTGTACAATAGATCCCACTTGGTCCTTTGGGCTAGTGCTGTAATCGGAAGTTCCTCTGATTCGTATTACTTAATCAGGATCAACTGCAGTTAATTCCCGAGCTCTGTATTAACGAGTTAATTTTGTCGTATTTATATGGAACAACAGTCAAAAGCAATCCTATCGCCCATGGGCGTGGCCAGGTAGGGGAACTTCCCAAAATTGTTCCTATATGTTCAAAAATAGTACCAGGATATGCTAGCTTAGAAAATAAATTATTCTTCACAAAGAAAGTTCTTTACTCAAGGCTTTTAAGTGCTTAAATAGTAAAAATGAAACTCAGTTAGAGTTACAATATTTTTCGGTCGAAAAACTCTGGTTCTCTTCAGAAAACTTCCAACAATAATACCCAATTTTTTATTTAATCATTACTGCCGATTTTTTATTGATCCCCCCTTTGCATATTCTGGGGATTTTGGCTGACATATAAAATATTGGGTGTTAATGTAGGGAGTCTCCTGAATAGAAACAGAGTTTTCCGAACGAAAAATATTGATTTTCAAGAATTCTAAACCGTTTTCACGAAAAGTTGTATTTTCCCCGTATAAAATACGCGGAAAACTTTGCGAGCATTGAGCGTCCTCTAAATGATTTCAAAAAAAGGCGGTATATTTTTCGGTATAGAACAATCCTAGGGGGTGAGAGCATAAAAATTCTGACTTTGCTTTTTCACATGCATTTTTGGACCACCCTAATATACATACATAGCGTCATCTTAATTCACAAAGGCCTTAACCAAAAGCAAAAAACATTACAAACAGAGTATCACACACAGTTAGGGCTTTTTACTAACACTTCACTTTAACAAATCCTACCAAAATCTGTGAAAAATATAGTTTCGAAAAAAGTGTTGGTTAGGGTATGCGGGTGCGCGCTTGCTCGCATATTATTAGATGAAGCTGTCATTTAAATAGTTACCACAACATCTTATACATACATATCTCTCAAATCGCAATTATCTACATTTCAGCAGGTTGGAAATGGTTAAAAAGACGTTCAGGCGGATAAATCAGATTCCTTTTGCGGAGCCGGCTAAAAAGAAATAAATTGAATTACACAGTTGCTTGCCGCACCTCAAAGGCAGCATTATTATTTTTATTTATCTTTATATTTCATTTGATATAAAAAGCATCGTGATTGTATGTACATACATATTGTGCTTTAATACATTGTATATAAAATTGGATAACATCTCCAATCAAAAAAAAGGATAATTCCATTATCTTTCATTACTTTTTAAATTTGAAGAAATGTTTGTTCTTCATTCGCTGGCGCCAACAAGACAAAATGGGATTATAACCCTCAGGCAGTAGAATTCTGCTTTCTGTGTTGCCAAAGAAGGGGGGCTGACCACCTTTTGCAGAGAACACCTTTCCCCCTTCGCCCCTCCATAGCACCGAAAATATGAGTTTGCACCAAAAAAATTGTATACCATTAAATGAGGAAAAAAAGGCGGATTACGCCCATTTTTCTTTTTTAATAACAATCGGGGGGTTATATTCGATGTAAATAAGCTAGTTTAAATTAAATAATTAAATCAAATTCGTTTTTGTTTTAAAATGCCACCAATCACTATTATCCACACCATTTTTGAAATTTAGCTCCCATTTTAGGAAGTGTGATTGAATTCTTCCCCTTTTTCTCCTGCTTCCATAAATCATTCCCGTTGGTTGGGAGTGCCAAATTTTAGAAAAAAGCTACTTACAAAACCTTTAATAATTGAATCATGATAAAATATGCACTGAACAAATTTGCCCCTTTGTCAGAACTGAGAGGAAAATAAAATTAAAATAAAGGTTTTAAAAATATGATTTACTTCCATTTGTCCACATCGCAATCAAGTACTTAACCATTAAAATCACCACAAAGCAAGAATCATCCCTGCAAACCAAAGTTTCCGAATTCTTAACGAAATCTTTACGATTTTCTCATTGCTGAACGAATTCGTTAAGAAATTCCTGTACGAAAAATAAAGAAAATTCTGGAAAAAAACTGCAGGAAATTCTTCACATAGCAGCATTATTTTCATTGATTTTTGATGAAAGAAAACGTAGAAATATAAAGAAAACTTAGAAATATAAGAAAAAAAACGTACATAACGCTACCTTAGAGTGAAAAGTTGCTAAGTCAGTTTTTACAAATTTTACAGGAGAGCGCAAAAACTTATCAAAGCCATTTTCTTTAAGCAAAGAAAACTCCATAAGAATCAGAGGGATTCGATCTTTATTAAAAGATTTCGTGTTATAAATATTGGCCTTAACGGATTTTCGGTGCCTCTTTTGGATTCAGAAAATGTGCCTTTCATCGAATATAAACGAAAGAAAATAAAAAAAGTACCTTAATGTTTTTCGAAGCGATGCATTTTTAATTTCTCTTTACTTAACCGTTTTTTACCCTAAACTACCGATAATTTTCTCATTTTTATCTCCTGTTTTTTGAATGAAAATGTTAGGTCCATTCGTATGACATGGCCGAGACAACGGAGCCGCGTACCACTCGTCACGTAAAAACGCATTTTTCG